TGAAAAACAGTATAATATGGGACCTTTAAGCATTTAGCTAATTGTTACATGAGGATTTATTGTGTCCACATGTGCCCCCTGCAGGCGGAGAAGATGCGCGCTCAGCTGGCCTCTCTGCCCCCCCTCCACGTCACCAAACTCCCCTCTGGAGAGGGAGGTCGCCCTGAGGTTCTCTCCAGCGCGCTGTACCGCAAAACAGACCAGCTGCTGGGGACTCTGCTGCAGATGAGCGCCAACGTGAAGGTGGTGGACATCACCGGGAAGTCTCCAGGTACAGAATGAACAGAATTGAAAACATTGTTCCTGTCCACAACAGTTTTACAATTAAAGTTAGATTTACCCTTAAGAAATCCAGATGAGAGAAATTAAATAGCAGAGTTAAATGTTGATATTCACGTAGGTTGACAGACAGAGATAGACAGACTAGGAGTGCTTCCATCCACCTGTTCCTTTTTTTTATTTTGTGCATTAAAAACATGAGGAGAAACAGCAGTAGTTTGGGAAAGCTTTTTTTTCTTGGTTGAGGTGGAAGGAAAATAAATGTGATGAAGTAACATTTATACAGATTTAGGGAATAAACGCTAGTTCAAAAGAAATACATTTTTGTAGGTTAAATAATGTATATCTTGAACAACATATGAATAAACAGTGATATCTAATTATAGGTTCAGATATCCAGCAGCAGTATATCAAGTGAAAGTTGCTCCACTTTTAACAGCTGTGATGAACACATTAACGTAAACAAAATGAAAGAATCCAGTCATTCAATATATAAGATTCTAAAATGGGACATTGGGCAAAGTCAGTACTTTTACTTTTGGTACTTTAACTATGTTCTTATGCCAATACGTCTCAGTTTATGTTGCTTTGTACTTCGACTGCACTATATTTTAGAAGAAAGTATTGTACTTTTTAATCCACTGCATTTATTTGACAGCTGTTAGTTACTAGTTAGATAATAGATTATTAGATCATTCAAAACATAAATCAATTATTAATTACACTTTGACAGGTATGTTTAGGTTAAGATAGCCAGCAGTAAGACATCAAGTTATTACAATGAGCTCTACATTTGATTATCTGATGAGGTCAAAATCAAGACCCCAACCCATATTTAATATTTCATTTGAGTTTTATAAATCTTCCACTGGTGCCAGTTCATTACGACACCTTGTTTGACCCTTTTCTTCTGTAATGCTATATTGGGTTTATATTGTATGGATGTAGTAACTCCTTATAATTATAGTAGTGGATAGAAACAGAAACATTTACAATTCGTAAAGATGGAAACCTGGCTACAGACAGCCCTGAGTGCAGTGGTACTTGTGTGAGATTGTTAGTCGCTTCTTTATAAAAAAGAAAAAAGTATAATCACGGTTTGAAAGCAGTTGCACACCGTGTATGAATAACACATCTTTTTGTATTTGTCCTGCAGTGACACCTGGTGCTCAGCTGCTGGAACAAACGGCTAGATTACAATCACTGAGCGACACTCTGGGCAGACTGAAGGTAAACACACTGATAGAAAAAACGAAAGTCCACAGACATGATATTAAAGTTTCATTCAAACAGGAGAATATATTACTGTAAATATGAGTACATGCCTCCTCCCTTCATCGACTCACCCTACAGGCTGGTTAAGTTGAATCTTCCTCTCTTTTCTCTCAGGATGAAGTAGCAGAGCACGTCGTCCACCAGCAGCCTGGAGCTCGGGTCTCGTCTGATTTCGCGACGTTCCCCTCAACTTTGTTTGTTAAAGTAAGAGCTGCAGACGCATCGCAACACTTGTTGTTATTTAGCATTTGGTCTGGCGTTGGGATTCATAAAGGAGGGTTAACCAAAGCCTTAAGTTGTCACAGTGACTATTTTAAAGCTGTATCATCAATACCCAGTGTTTTTGACAACAATATCAAATATAGAAAATATACAACGCTTCTCCACCTGGTATTTCTTTATTAATAGAGGTCTTAAAGGTCACCTATTCTGCAAAATCCACTTTTTCATGTCTCTTCTACATCAACATGTGTCCCCTCTTCTTCATGTCTCTTCTACATCAACATGTGTCCCCTCTTCTTCATGTCTCTTCTACATCAACATGTGTCCCCTCTTCTTCATGTCTCTTCTACATCAACATGTGTCCCCTCTGTGTAAAGAGACTCTGAAAGTTTCAGGAACAAAGACCCCCTCTCTTTTTGTCCTGATGCATTTATGTAAAAACCTGTCTGAAAATGAGCTGATCAGATTTTGGCCACTTTATGATGTCATCACCATTTTTTGTCTTGTGTAACCATTAGCCAATCAGCAACCAAGGTAACCCCCCCCCCTTATCACCTGAATCTCCTCCTAGAGCNTGGCTTCAAACGCCATGTTATCTCCATTCACACCAAGGACTACCCACACCGCTGTGACTACTGCACCAAGGGCTTTAGGAGGCCTTCGGAGAAGAGCCAGCACATAGCCAGGCACCACAAAGACATGTTGATGTAATGTCATCACACACACACACACACACACACACACACACACACACACACACACACACACACACACACACACTCCTCCTTCCCCAGTAAATCTGTGTCATACACCCAGAGGTAATTTTAGTGTATTAACAAATAAATGACAGATGTATGCTGTTGATAAAGACGACAACATCATAATTGCCGTTTTGTGTTCTGTGTTGTAATGGGTGTAACCCTCCTCCCCCAGGGGTAATGCAAGAACACATTTTAGATGGGGTGAAGTGTAAAAAAAAAAAAGACAATGTGTACACTGAGTGGGACAGCTGTAAATTGTGTTTCGTTTCGTTGCAGAAAATCACATATGAACTTATATTCAGGGTCTCAAATGTCTATATTTTTATACCCCACTCAGCGGAAGTGCTGCAAGATGATGACTGTGTCCTGTAAATCAGAAAGTGGTGCTTAGTGAACGTCATGCCAGTTCTTCAGATGATGTGGAATGTGCACCGGAGAAGTTTACCTCCATAGTACACACTAGCATCTCTGTTCCCTATTAACCAGCTTTTACCGTGACATTTGTGTTCAATGCCATCATGTCTTTTAGAGGCAGGGCCATTCATGACTTCATAGATGGTTCTGAGTGATGTTGACACACATTACGCACCTTGAGAAGATAGTTCATCAAATCTAACATTTGAACTTTCATCATTTTGGATTTTCCTCCCAAGCTTGAACACTTGGAGTTCCACTAAATTAATCATGTATGATATAGGCTGTATTCTATTAAATATGTCTTAAAGTTGAATCAGAGATGTTCTGATCTGATCAGCTGTGTCTAACAAGGAGGAGAAATGGTGTCGCTGGTATATTAGTAGAATATCCCTTTAGTGTACACAACACATTTCCCATAGTTCACAGGTGTATTTATATGAACTTGGCAGATGGTTGGCTTCATGTTCGGTAACCTTTGACCTGATTACATCTGGCGGCCGTAGTAAGCTGCATAGTGCGATGCTACCTAAAGCTAAATGTGCTCTCGGCTAACATCGACTGCAATCATGCCTTACATCTGTCGCTCTCTATCCCTTAAGCACTGAGGAACACAGCTAATCAGAAAGGAAGTGATTTTTAACTCTCAAACATACTGCATCAAAACCATTCTCTCAGAGATTGTGTGTTTGAGTCAGTAGAAAGCACTTTAATAACTTTTTTATTTTATTTTTTTTTAATTACGTGTGTGTACATATATAGATATTTAAATATATCTATATATAAAACCTAGATAATAAACAATTACAGAGCTTTGTGAGTTGGTAAAAGAAAAGTTTGTTTTGAGTGTTATCCCTAGCAAGTGGGCACGATCCATTACTGTATCCAGACGGAATTTTATTGAAAGTGGTGGGTTTACCATTTATTGTTTTGTTCTATGGATAAGTGATCTGGTTTTGTGTTTTGTTTGTGCTCACTAACAATTTTCCCCGACCCTCGTTATTATACAACCCAAATCCCAACCATGGGAGTATTCCCTTCAGTCAGTGCTCATATTGGCATTAGTCTTTAAAGTATGCACACATGCTGTCTCCATGAAATTAAATGTGGTATATATTAAAGATCCCCACATTTCGTGTACCTTAGTCTATATTTTCTTTCAGTCTGATTGTGGATAAACTACTGGTGGGGAAGAACCAAAATAAACAATTATCTTTTTTACGCTCTTTGTGCTTTCTGTCCTGCAAACAGAAAAGATCTTTACATGACATCTTAGAAGAATTATTGACCAAAAAAACGAACCATTTGTATATCAGGTACCCTACCTGTATTCTATTGAAGAAGGTTTTCCTGTATCGCTCCACAAAGAATCAGAAAACAAATAAGGTTTTAATTAAATTCAACGGACAAGCACTTCTAACTGTCACAACAAGTGTGTTTAACAAGCAAGTGACTAACAATCAGGAAGTGTGAAGGTAAGGTTTTAGTGGTTGGGAAGTAGCATGCGTTGGATAATAATTCACAAAGTAACAAATATTTAATCAAAGATATTCATCACTTTGGATTCTACGTTTACCATGGAGGCATTCTAGGAAAACAGAAATTCAAGCTAACACTGGATTTGTTTTCGGGCAAAGAATAACATTTAACACCCTGTCAGCAGATATTCACTGTCAACACAGGTTATATGCTCCATACATGATACATGAGACATTAAGGTAAAAAAAAATATTCATTTAGATTAAACACAGTCAACTGTTTGAAAGGATCACTTCTTTAATTAACACGAGAGACTAACATAAAACAGATTCAATTGTTCCATGCATCCTTTTTTCATCCCCTGATTTACAGGTCTTATTCAACGAGGACAGAACGCAGGATTTTCGTTTTGACATATTTCTACCTTGACTCACAATAATGTTTGGGAGCAGATGAAAGCCAGGCAACCATCACTCTATCATCCTGTTTTGGAACTTGAAACCTGCTTTAATCCAAACTCTTTCTGTTTATATTTTTAAAACCTCTAATGAGTGTCTGTGGTTTCAGTTGCAGCTCTCAGTTCAACAGCTTTGTTTTTTGAAAGCTAAAAATAAAATTAGGTTTCTTTTAGGAAACATTTGATATCAGCAACGTTTTTACCTGTATTAGATTATGGTGATCTGCTATACATGAATGCCTCTGACCAGTGCCTAAAGAGCTTGGATACTGTGTACCATTGTGCCTTACGATGTATTACTGGATGTGGATATCGAGTACACTATTGCACTTTATATGCTGCTGCTAATTGGCCATCTTTGTCTGCTCGCAGACTTTCCCATTGGTTGGGTTTTATTTATAAATCTCTTCTTGGGTTGGTTCCCTCCTACATTTGCACATATATCTGTCAAAGAGAAAGTCTATATGGCCTGCGCTCCCAAGATTTGATTCAGATGCTGGTTCCTACAATGAGAACAAAACTGGGTAAAACAGCTTTTAAATTATGCTTCCCCCACAGCTTGGAATAATGTACAGAAGGAGCTGAAACTCTAGGGGAATTCAGGTCCATCCTAAAGGACAGAGAACACGACACCATTGGTAGATGTGAGTGTTCGTATATCCAAAAATCGTTTTAAGTGTTGCCAGTTTTTAATAGTTTGTTTTATTTCGCATATTGACTGGCTAATGTGCCATTTTATGTGTGTATTACAGCTGTATTTGTCTGCCTGTCTTGTCTTTGTTTATCTGTTGTAACTTTGTTCATGCTGCCCTTCTTGGCCAGGTCACTCTTGGAAAAGAGATTGTAATCTCATTGAGTCTTTTACCTGGTTAAATAAAGGATATATATACAGCACCACACATTTATTTGATTTAAAAAATGTAGTGAACTATTGAGAAGTGATGACATAAGCCAGTAAGCCTCAGTAACTGCGGTGCCAGAGGCCAACAAGCAATTTACTGGTTAGTAAAAAGGGAATTTGAAATTTCACTGGATCACCAGCTCATCCTCTGACACATCTGTGCATATATATGATATATGTGTGAGCTGCACTGCAAAATCACTATCGCGGCACACCGTAGTCTTCAAATTCAGCTGACGAAATCAAGTTGATACAAAATGTGAGAGCTGCCGACCTGAAGTTTTACCTTTTGATTTCAACTATTTTCCCGAATTGTAGTGATGCTATTCTACAGTGTTAAGAGGATCTCCAAGCTCAATAAGTAGATAGAAAACATACAGTTCAAGTTGAAAGCATTCAGCAGGTGTGTTGAAGAGTAAACAGATCTTTGCTAATAGCTAAAACAGCAGTCAAAAACGTCTGATAACCAGATGAAAATGTGTACCATTATCAAGGCTGCATCATAAGTCAATCCCAGCCTGTTGTCGGACTAGTTCTGTTATCCACTTATGAATCATTGTGTTGATGTCATGTGTGTGTAAGAAAAGCCCAGTTGTTACTAACAAATCGGAAAAACAATAACAGCACGCAGAAACTTCAGCAGGTAAATGTAATTCAGTTTACCTTAATTGTGTCATTTACACCTGAGCTTTTTTAGTGTCAAATGTTATAATGTCTTCCGTGAAAAAAAGATAATGTTGTCTTCAAATTAATGTGTGGTCTGTGATCAGATCACTTCTGATTAGAACTAACTTCAGAAATGGTAGTAGCAAAGAAGGTAAGTAAGTGGGATGTTGATGAATGTCGAACGATAGTTGTGAAAGTTGTACAGATTTTATAATGCAGAGGGATAACATGATGAGTTTGCGAGTGGCCTTGGCGAAGGAGGAAACAGACAGATTGATGAAATGATGTGGGATTGGAGTGACCATGAGAGAGAGGAAGAGCAGTGACTGAATCAGGAAGAAAGTGCAGTAAAGTGATTTAAAAAGTTTGTGCAGGTGTCTCCATTTCATCTTTCTACCAACTGTGAGTCATTATAATATAAACAACTTCCTCTCTTCCCTCCACACAGAGACTCCCAGGAGATGTGACTCTTTCTATGCACCAAGACGTGTGTTGCAGTCGTGTTTCGCTCCCATGTCACCCGTCTTGAAAGATGTACGATGCTTCATGCTGTGGGAAATGAGGCTGTGCAGATGGGTTCACATACACCTGAAAGATGCACCAGCCGGTTCATTTTCTGTTGATCTCACAAAAACATCCCATAAATCACTTAATGGTGCAGCTGTCAACAGAAACCGCTGAGAACGCAAAGATCAGTATGCAGACAAATCCATAAAATGGTCCCTAAGTAACCGTTTCTTTCTCACTGCATCATCTAGGAGTTTAGCGTTAGTCTGTGTTGGGGGTGTTTTGCTCTGAACACACACACATAATTAAGCAACGGCAGTAAGTACATTTGCCCATTTCCCATTTGACCGTGCTGAACTCTCTCTCCCAAGCCTCTACTTTGCCTTTTTGAATCAGAAGAGCACACACACACACACACACACACACACACACACACACACACACACACACACACACACACACACACACACACACACACACACACACACACACACACACACCTATCTGCTTCCGAAGACCATGACAG